CTCAGAAAAAAAACCTCTGTGTTGCGGAGCACAAACTCTTTAGCCTCCTGTTTTTGAATTGTAGACAAGGTGACTGCTATTCCAACCTCCGGAACCAAGCAGTTAGATGGCGCTGGTGACAAACCCTCAGCAACTAGGGATTCCCTGTCCCTCCAGGCCTTTAGCAGATTGATGTGGTAGATCTGCTCCGGTTTCCGCCTTCCTGGTTGTCTGACCCTGTAATTCACCTCACTCACTTTCTCAATCACCTCGTATGGGCCATGCCATTTGGCCAGGAATTTGCTTTCAACCGTAGGGATTAGCACTAGCACTCTATCTCCTTCAGCAAACGACCTGGTCCGGGCCCCCCGATTGTACACCCTCTGCTGCGCTAACTGTGCTTGGGACAAATGTTCCTTTACGATAGGCATGACTGGGCAATTCTATCTTGCATTTGGGCGACGTGCTCAATCACACTCCGGTGGGGAGAACTCTCACTTTCCCAAGTTTCCTTGGCGATATCTAACAGCCCCCTTGGGTGTCTCCCATAGAGCAACTCAAATGGTGAAAACCCTGTGGAGGACTGGGGTACCTCCCGGATGGCAAACATCAAATAGGGTACTAAATAATCCCAACCCTTTCCATCCTTATCTACCACCTTCCTTAGCATTTGTTTCAGGGTTTTGTTGAACCTTTCCACCAACCCGTCAGTTTGGGGATGATACACAGAGGTGCGCAACTGTTTTACCTTGAACAGTTTGCAGAGCTCTTTCATCACCCGGGACATAAAGGGGGTTCCCTGGTCCGTCAGCAGTTCCTTTGAAATACCCACTCGGCTGAAAACGAGGAATAGCTCCTTAGCTATTGTCTTGGCAGAGGTATTTCGGAGTGGAATTGCTTCTGGATAGCGGGTGGCATAGTCGAGTATGACCAACAGGTACTGATGCCCCCTAGCGGATTTCACCAGCGGACCTACCAAATCCATGGCAATCCTTTCAAAGGGGACCTCAATGATGGGAAGAGGTACCAGTGGACTACGGAAATGGGGCATAGGGGCCGACTTCTGACACACAGGGCAAGAGGAACAGTAATTTTCCACCTCCTTAATGACCCCAGGCCAATAGAACCGCTGCAGTACTCTTTCCCGTGTTTTCTCCGCCCCCAAATGACCCCCAAGGATGTGTCCATGGGCCAACTCCAACACCAACTTCCTGTAAGGTCTGGGCACCACCAGTTGCTCAATGGTTTCTTCTGCCCCCTGAGCAACTCGATAGAGTAGGTCCCTTTCCACAAGGAAGTATGGATAAGCAGCAGTTTTCTCAGGACTCACTAGTTGGCCATCTACTTTTACTACATTTTCCCGGGCTTTTATCAGCGTGGGGTCTTTCAGCTGTTCGGTGGCAAAATTTTCCCTATGCACCTCTAAGTCCGAGAATCCAAAACCGGCAGATTTTCATCTGAGGAGGTGGGCTCCTCCCCAGTTCCTTGGGTCTCCCCAGCTAGTACCGACAAGGGGAACTTGGGAGAGACCTCACCACACTCAGACGCTTTCTGGGATTCACCTTCCTGGTCTGCAGGGGAGACAGTGGGGGGGTCAGAACAATCCCAGAGTTCCCAGAATTTTGGAAAATCCCTCCCCACAATGGCATCATGTGGTAAATGAGGTACCAATCCTACCTGATGAGACAGGTTACCTTTGGGGGTCTCAAAAAACACAGTAGCCACGGGATACTCCCTAGTGTCCCCATGCACACAAATCACTGCCACCTTTTTATGCCCAGAGACCTTTGTAGTGACCATCTCCTCTCTTATCAAGGTTACCAAGCTACCTGAATCCAGCAACCCCACAATATTATTTCCATTAACAGTCATTTTGCACAAATGTTTCTCAGTGCCCGGGCTGGCCGTGCATACCACTGTCGCAAACAGCGACTGACGTCTATTGCTCAGAAAGTCACACTGCATAGGCTCATCCACCACTGGGCAATTAGCTGCAATATGTCCCTCTTGCCGGCAGCGGTAACAAATAATTTTTTTCACCGCTTCTTGCGGCCTTGGCCTTCCTGGCCGCTCTTGCCAGACATTGGGTAATACTCCCACCCTCTCACTCTCTCCACCCTCACCCCTTGTAGTCATCTTACCCGCCGCTGGGGATGGTCTGGTCTTAGGGTGGAAAGTCCGTGAGTCTCTGGAAGAGGAGGTCAGGTTCTCAGTAGCCAAGTATCTCTCCACTAGATCCACCAGCTTGTCTGCAGTTTCTGGGTCTCCATGGCTGACCCACTTTTGAATAGTATTAGGCAGAGACCTTAGGAACCGATCCATGACGACACGTTCCACAATTTTTGGGGCGGTCAAAGTCTCTGGCTGCAGCCACTTCCTGCTCAGGTGAATGAGATCATACATCTGTGACCTGGGAGGTTTCCCAAGCCGAAAAGTCCAATTATGTACCCGCTGAGCACGGACAGCGAGGGTAACACCCAACCGGGCCAAAATTTCCACTTTTAGCACATCATAGTTTTTGGCTTGGTCGGCTCCAGGTCATAGTAAGCTTTTTGCGACTCTCCAGTTAATAATGGGGCCATCAATCCAGCCCACTGTTCTTTAGGCCACTTTTCCCTTTCAGCAGTCCTTTCAAAGGTGGTTAGAAACACCTCCGGATCATCCTCTCCCGTCATTTTTGGCAATAAACGGCCCACAGAAAATGATGGTGTTTTACCAGAATCATCACCAGCCTCAGTCTGCTGCCTCTGCTGGAGCTGCTTCAAAACAGCCTCAATTTGTTTCTGGTGTTTCTGGTCCTGTTGCACCAGCAATTCCCTATGGCGGACCTCTGCTTGTTCCAAGGCCTTCTGCTGGGCTGCAATGCTCTGCTGGAAACTTGCATTTGCCTGCTGTTGATTGGCATTTGCCTGTTGTTGATTGGCATTTGCCAGAGCCAACTGTCTGATTATCTCCTCCATGCTGGCCTTTAGTTACCACAACTGCCCGCATCCTCCACCATATGTAACAGGGTTAGCTCGGCAGCGGGTGTGTGTGACCCCCTGGATGGGTGCACAACACAAAAAAAAGATAGGCACAGCACAACAATAGTGGAGGTGAAAACAAACAGGTGCAATTTATTTACAATATTTACAGAAAAAATGATAAAACAAAAAGAGACATCAAAATAAATCCTGGCCAACTTGGCTACTTACTGCAACAACAGCTTTTCCCTAGCTACCCACTAGGTACAGCCTGCTGCTATACCTAGTTGCTAGTACTGGGAGGTTAGCCACACAGGCTTTGGTCTCTCTGCACACAGATAACAGGTCAGCTCCCCAGACAGTTCAGGCACAGATCTGGTTCCAGGGTGGAGCAACTCCCTAAGCACTCTGGGAAGCTTTATACAAGTGTTAATGAGCCCACTACCTTCAGCTGGGCTCATTATCTCAGTGCTGAAGGACTCAGCACTTCCCTCTAGTGGTACAAATCCCCATAAACCCTGAATCTCGGACAAATATATCGTCCATCCAGGACGCAACCAGGTGATTTCACCTGCCTACTGTCACAATATATATATTTGCCAACAATGGGGGTGTGACATTTCTTTTGGGGAAACAGATAGGCCAATCTTGAATAGATCTGGCTACCTTGCGACTCTAGGGTTTCAGCATCATAAAGAATCATCAGAAAAAGTTAAGTTTTTACACAATTTGATTCTGGCCATTTGATATCCATTTGGTAAATACCTATGGCTTGAAAATTGCGGGTTGGTCCATACAAAACCAGAGGGGGAGCAAACTGCCCTATTCTCAGCTAATAATCAGTCCCTGTAGATTCACCCTCAGCCTCTATATCGGCTTGCTTGCCAATGGCAAAATGTTTTCATTTGTTCTAGTTTTTATATACAGTGGGGAAAATAATTATTTGATCCCCTGCAGATTTTGTAAGTTTTCCCATTTACAAAGAAATGAAGGGTCTATAATTTTTAAAAGAGGTGTATTTGAAATGATAGAGACAGAATATCAACCAGATATCCAGAAAAAAATACATGATACAAATGTTATAAATTGAGTTGCAGTTCAGTGAGTAAAATAAGTATTTGATCCCCTATCATCCAACAAAAATTCTGGCTCCCACACACTGGCTATGTGATCATGTGGTACACTGATTAGTTCTGTCAATTTAAGAAGGTGTTTCTAATGACAACTCATTATTGGTATAAAAGACACCTCTCCAGAAAATCTCTTTCTTCCGCCTCACAATCATGGGCAAAATCAAAGAGCTGTCAAAGGACGTCAGGGACAAGATTGTAGAATTGCTGAAGGCTGGAATGGCCTACAAGACCATCAGCAAGAAGCTTTGTGAGAAGGAGACAACTGTTGGAGCAATTATTTACAAATGGAAGTTTGGAGCTCCAAGCAACATTTCGCTTCATGGGGTAAGAATGATCATGAGAAAAGTAAAGGATCAGCCCAGAGCTACACAGAAGGAGCTTGTGAATGATCTCAAGGCAGTTGGGATCACAGACACCAAACAATCCATTGGTTACACAATATTGGAATCCTGGATTGAAATCCTACAGTGCCCGCAAGGTCCCCCTCCTCAAGGCATATGTACAGGCCCATATGAAGTTTGCCAATGAACATCTAAATAAATCAGAGAAGGATTGGGAGAAAGTGTTGTGGTCAGATGAGACCAAAATTGAGCTCTTTGGCATTAACTTAACTCATCATGTCTGGGAGAAATAAAATGCTGATTATGACCCTAAGAACACCATCCCTATCACGGAGGTGGAAACATTATGCTTTGGGGCTATTTCTCTGCTAAAGGTACAGTCCGAAATTGCTGCATTGAGGGGCCAATGGATGGGGCCATGTATTGTAAAATCTTGGATTAGAGCCTTCTTCCTGTATTATATTGTGTGTAATATATATATATATATATATATATATATATGTGTGTGTATTGAAGATTTTGAAACACATACTGTTCATTCTGGGACAGGCCAGTGACAAAACCACTTTACACATCAAAAGACTCTGTGCTATGCAAGGTCACCTGGTATATTGGTAATAGCCTGTTTGTCTAATTAGACATTCCAAAGGGTACATTGTATTCATGGGAAATGGTGAAATGGTGACTTGTTTACAGGGGCGGACTGACAACTCATGGGGCCCCGGGCAATAGGGGATCATGGGGCCCCTGTGTCCTCGCCCACACCCAAAAAAGCCAATGAAAGGTACCAGGGGCATCTCATGGGGCCCCCTACTGACCCTGGGCCCTCAGGCAGTGCCCGAGTGCTCGAATGGTTTGTCCACCCCTGCTTGTGTATCTGGTAAGCACTATAGTGACCGCAATTGTTAAGTCTCTTCATGTAAGATCAAAGTGGCCAATCAGAGTGCTTGCCAGTGTACTGAATGGGGAAAATGTGTATATTAACACAGGACACAGATCAGGATACGTGTGACAGGGCACAGGTGACAGGACGCAGGAAGGTTCTCTAATGATTGCCTGTCACCTTAGTTGTCTGTACCTCAGCTGGAAAAGGAGTTTTCTTCCTGTCATTGATATGGGAGCACAGGTATAGATCATAACTCGCATTATTGCATGCATGGAAGCTACCTAGGTGCATATTATAGATTGGACATATGCTGGACGGTGTAGTATCTCTATGGTTGATATGAAGTATCTTGAATGGGACTTTGAAGGCTGTTGTTCATTGTAATCTTTACAAATATTCAGCTGAATTTCTGTCATCTGTAACAAATATCTTTATTCGAATAAATGCATCTCTCTGGAAAAGGACTATTGGTTGCTGCGGGGAAAAGTACAATATCCACTGGTCATTCGTCCTACATTATTGATATAAGACAACAGATTTGTCTTATGAACTGTTTCTGTGTGGACATCATTATTTTAAGACAACACTTCCCTCAGCCAGAACACTGAAGATGGGTCTTCCAACATGACAATGACCCAAAACATACCACCAAGGCAACAAAGGAGTGGCTCAAGAAGACACACATTAATGTCATGGAGTGGCTTAGCCAGTCTCCAGACCTTAATCCTATAGAAAATTTTATGGCGAGAGCTGAAACTTCGAGTCGCCAACTGACAGCCAAGAAACCTTAAACATTTAGAGAAAATCTGTAAAGAAGAGTGGACCAAAATCCCTCCTGAGATGTGTGCAAACCCGGTAAACAACTATAAGAAACATCTTACCTCTCTGCTTGCCAAAAGGGGTTTCTCCAGCAAGTACTAAGTAATGGTTTGCTTGGGGATCAAATACTTTTTTACTCACTAAACTGCAACTTAATTTATAACATTTGTATAAAGTGGTTTTCTGGATTTTTGGATGATATTCTGTCTCTATCATTTAAAATACACCTGTGATAATTATAGACCCTTCATTTCTTTGTAAGTTGGCAAACTTTGTTTTCGGTTGAAGAGGCAATTTGTTGGTAAGTCATGAAGATGAACATTAGTATGTAAATAAACTGAACTTTAGATATTACTTATATTGCAGCTAGCAAAACTTGAGCTAAAAGCTCTAAGTCCCGAGTGTCCCTGCTTATAGAAGGTGATGACACAACATATACCCCCAATAACAGTGAATTGTGATTTAAAAGAAACTGAATATTCATTATTTTAAGACTGAGGGGGTGTCGTAGATATAACTTATTGTGCTACCACATTTTTAGCCTCCCTGTTAATCCTTTATTGTGATTCATAATCAGTTATGACCTTTGTGCAGCCTTTGATACAGTTGACTACTCCTTCCTCAAAAAAATTTCACTCCCTTGGCCTCCAAGAAATTTCTCTTTTCTGGTTCTTCTCCTATCTTACTAAGTGCTCCTGCAGTGCCACCTACAACTCTGTCTCCTTCTCTAGTCTTCCTCTTTCTGTAGAGTTCCACCAAGGCTCTTTCCTAGGACCCCTTCTATCCTCTTGAATAGAGATTGCCTCGATCTGATTGCCTCCCATGACTTCAAATAATATATCTTTGCTAATGACTCCCAAATTTATCTCTACTTCTCAGCTCCCCCCATCAGTCTCTTCATGCATTACTAATTTATTAACTGACATATCAGCTTGAAAGTTCACACATTTCTCCAAATGTCCATCTTTGCAAAGCTGAGCTCATAAAGTTTCCTCTACCTACTGTACCTCACATCCATAACATTGCCAAAATATACCTCTTCTTAATCACTGACACTACCAAGATACTTATTCACTGCTTTGTGAAGACTCGCCTGACTATCTCGACTTATCCCTTCAGGGAAGCCTATCCCACCTCTGCTTAACAATTGAAAATGCTACTTTCTCCATCAACTCATCCACAAAGTTATGACCTTTTGTATCACTTGCCTCTCCCTTTTAGAGTGTAAGCTCTCAGTGGCAGGGCCCTCTTAACCCTCCTGTATTTTATTGTAATTTTATTATCCCCTTTATTTTGTAAAGTGCTGCACAAACTAATGTCACTTATAAATCCTTTTTATAAAAATAATAATTGGTGACCACTCTGACCTAAAGAGGTAAGAGAGGATGGAGCGAAGCTTTTAGTGGAAAATATGAGATTAGCCTTCAACTGCAGCTTCTTATAGTATATTTCTGAAGTTACTGATCATGTTATATTTTCACTGAAGGTAGCTGCCACTTTAGCATTTTTTGATTGTATTCTCATATTGAGTTGCCAAGATTAGTGGCAGATTGACCTCTTGGATGGAAGGATATTTAATTAAAAATGTTGTTTTCTCTAAAACTGGCAAAAGGTTCAGGGGTTCTGCCAGTTCCAACTTCCTGTCTAAATACTGATAAAGCTGTCTGCTGCATATTCTGTTATATGTTAAGACATTAATGAAGCATCCCCATCATCCGGTAAATGTGCATTTTCCCAGCCTACAGCTTTTTTGCATTATGTACGGTAAGCTAAAACAACCAGAGGGTTTCTGGGGTGTCCTTCTTACAACATTTGGAACTATGGAATGACTGCCTATCCCTCTATGGCAGTGGTTCTCAACCTTTCTAATGCCGCGACCCCTTAATACAGTTCCTCATGTTGTGGTGACCCCCAACCATAAAATTATTTTCGTTGCTACTTCATAACTGTAATTTTGCAGTGGGAGGACTAGCGCCCCATCGTCGGTATGAGTGGGAGGAATAGCGCCCCATCGTCGGTGTCAGTGGGGGGAGGAATAGCGCCCCATCGTCGGTGTCAGTGGGGGGAGGAATAGCGCCCCATCGTCGGTGTCAGTGGGGGGAGGAATAGCGCCCCATCGTCGGTGTCAGTGGGGGGAGGAATAGCGCCCCATCGTCGGTGTCAGTGGGGGGAGGAATAGCGCCCCATCGTCGGTGTCAGTGGGGGGAGGAATAGCGCCCCATCGTCGGTGTCAGTGGGGGGAGGAATAGCGCCCCATCGTCGGTGTCAGTGGGGGGAGGAATAGCGCCCCATCGTCGGTGTCAGTGGGGGGAGGAATAGCGCCCCATCGTCGGTGTCAGTGGGGGGAGGAATAGCGCCCCATCGTCTGTGTCAGTGGGGGGAGGAATAGCGCCCCATCGTCGGTGTCAGTGGGGGGAGGAATAGCGCCCCATCGTCGGTGTCAGTGGGGGGAGGAATAGCGCCCCATCGTCGGTGTCAGTGGGGGGAGGAATAGCGCCCCATCGTCGGTGTCAGTGGGGGGAGGAATAGCGCCCCATCGTCGGTGTCAGTGGGGGGAGGAATAGCGCCCCATCGTCGGTGTCAGTGGGGGGAGGAATAGCGCCCCATCGTCGGTGTCAGTGGGGGGAGGAATAGCGCCCCATCGTCGGTGTCAGTGGGGGGAGGAATAGCGCCCCATCGTCGGTGTCAGTGGGGGGAGGAATAGCGCCCCATCGTCGGTGTCAGTGGGGGGAGGAATAGCGCCCCATCGTCGGTGTCAGTGGGGGGAGGAATAGCGCCCCATCGTCGGTGTCAGTGGGGGGAGGAATAGCGCCCCATCGTCGGTGTCAGTGGGGGGAGGAATAGCGCCCCATCGTCGGTGTCAGTGGGGGGAGGAATAGCGCCCCATCGTCGGTGTCAGTGGGGGGAGGAATAGTGCCCCATCGTCGGTGTCAGTGGGGGGAGGAATAGCGCCCCATCGTCGGTGTCAGTGGGGGGAGGAATAGTGCCCCATCGTCGGTGTCAGTGGGGGGAGGAATAGTGCCCCATCGTCGGTGTCAGTGGGGGGAGGAATAGTGCCCCATCGTTGGTGTCAGTGGGGGGAGGAATAGTGCCCCATCGTCGGTGTCAGTGGGGGGAGGAATAGTGCCCCATCGTCGGTGTCAGTGGGGGGAGGAATAGCGCCCCATCGTTGGTGTCAGTGGGGGGAGGAATACTGTCTCATCGTTGGTGTCAGTGGGGGGAGGAATAGTGCCCCATCGTTGGTGTCAGTGGGGGGAGGAATAGTGCCCCATCGTTGGTGTCAGTGGGGGGAGGAATAGTGCCCCATCGTTGGTGTCAGTGGGGGGAGGAATAGTGCCCCATCGTTGGTGTCAGTGGGGGGAGGAATAGTGCCCCATCGTTGGTATTAGTGACACCAATGATGGGGCACTATCCCTCCCACTGACACCAATGATACTTACCTTGCTGACCCCTGCTCCAGCCTGGGCTCGCTCTCTCCCTCTCCCATCTACAGCCTGCATACCTGGCTGCAGCAGCAAAATTTGCACTTACCTGTCAGCTGTCTTCCTTCTCTGGCCTCTCTCTTCACTCGTTGCTGCAGCTCCCTCGATCTTCTTCGATCTCCGCGCGCTGCCGCTTGGCTCCTCCTCTCCAAGCTCCACCTTCTCGCCGGTGATTGGCCGCCTGTGTGCCTCTCCTGAGCTACAGTTCCGGTGGCCAATCAGCGGTGAGGAGGCGGTGACAGGGGCAGCATATCATCCCGCCCACACATCGCCGGAGACAGCAGCGGTGTCTCGGTTCCTAAGACCATCGGAAATATGTGTTTTCCGATGGTCTTAGGCGACCCCTGGGAAATGGTCGTTCGACCCCCAAAGGGGTCGCGACCCCCAGGTTGAGAACCGCTGCTCTATGGGAATGTCCTGATTCATTGTACCGCTGCTGGCTACTACTGTTTGTTTACCTGGCTTTTAAAATGATGACTGAAATCTGCTGGGAATATATCAGCTAAATATGCAAAGCAACAGAATAGTTCATTTAATTATTATCACCAAGCAATCATTTTATTATTTGTTAACTGCATCACATGTATGGAATTTGATGATGATCAGTTCTCAGAAGAACACCTTTGGACTGCTCTCCAGCAGTTTAGGGATTGTGTTGAAGTATGTGTAATGATCCTGTGGTTGG